CGGAACCGGTCCATTTCTGGACCGGTTTGGCTCAGGTCTAGCCTGAGCTGGGCGGTTCAGTTTGGGCAGCCCACTAGTGGGTTTGGTTGGGTCTTTTGCTTGCTATAAGTAGGGATTAAGGGGGGATTTCTAGGGTTATGCAAGATTTGAGTTTTCTCTTAGCCTCCTTAGTTTCTTTCTCTTGTTTTTCTAGGGTTTGTAGTGGGAGACATTGTCCTTCTCGAAGTGGACAAATTGTATCTTGTTTTCCCTTGGATTTTGAATGCAAAGGTTTTGGTTCTTCATCTCATCCCTCTTGTGTTGATTTTTTCCTTGATTTGGAGGAAAAATCTTTTCTTTGAAGGAGCATTAGGGCAAACCCAAACTTGGGAACCCTAGGGCATATCAGATTCCCAGTTTCTTTGCCATCACCAGGTGGGTGAAAAAGGATTTCTAGATTCTGCCTACTTTAGGAGAGAGTAAAAGAATTCAAGATTCTCTGCCTCAGCGGGTGGGTGGAAAGATTTTATAAGGGCTTCTCCGCCTTGCTGTGGCAGCAAAAGTATTCACTTTTGTTAATACTTGGAAAGAGAGTCTCCAACAAGTGGACGTAGGTTAAGTTGACCGAACCAATAAAAATTTTGGTGTGTTCTTTCTATTTATTTTTCTGCATTTTTTTGTGATTTGATATGTGGTCGAAATCTCTGATATTAGTTATTGTTAAATTAGTTTTGCTTCTGCATAAATCGTTTGTTTTAAAATATTCAAAAAGATTTTTTTTTGTTAATTTTTTTTTTAAATAACCAATTCATCTCCTCTTAGTTAGCCTCGGAACTAGTTTTTTAGGGTTTAATAACCCTCACAAACTTTCATTTTCCATGAGAGATCTCATTTCTTCAACAAAAGCATTTTTTCATTATGATTTTTTAAGAGCTTCATATACATTTCAATGTATTACAATGCTATCAATCTTAGTAATACATGCTTAAATTGTGGAGATGGTTTACATTATGTGATGTAGAGTCTGTAGAATTTTTCTAGTAAAACTAGCAATTTAATTGGTGCCCACTTAAGGTGGTGGTGGAAAGATTGTTTGCATGGTGGTGAAACAAGTATTTAACAAGTATTTAAGATTCGGATAAATCTAGTTTTGAAACTTCTAGGCTATCAAAGGGCAAATTTTCCTTTGAGGAAAATGGGGAGGAACACTAGATTAAAAATTTTGGATGTTAGGGAACCAAGAACAGTGTTTTATGAATTTTCTATCAATGGCTAAGGAGTTGAGGGGAGTTACTATTTTAAGCATGTACTATTCATAACATAAAATACTCTCTTTCGATTGGATTTTAACTAGGGTATCTAAGGGTCATTGGGGAATCGAGCCCCGGGAAAGTCATGCAAATATGAGGGAATATTTGGGAGAGTTTTAAAGTAGTTGAATATGTTTTTGGGTTGATGGGGAGCTAGGTTTGAGGCTATGTAGAGGAGTGGGAATTGCATTGGAAAATAGAAGAAAAAAGTGTGAGAAAAGATAGCCAAGGACTCATCAAAATCCTAAGGGATCAGCTAACAAGCTTTATTAGAGAGCATAGCACCCACCAGTCTCCCCATAAGAAATTTGTAAAAGCTAAAATAACTTTTATTCAATAAATTTTCAATCCATATGACCTATGAAGGTAATAATCCATGCAACATGAAAAAAATTATTAGTTAAAAAAATGAATAATATTTCAGAGGACTGGGCGCCACATGCATGTTTCAAAATTTATATCATAAATTTCAAAGTGCTCTTGTGCATTCTCATTGGTTTGTTTAACAAACAGTTAAATAGTTATATCCCACCCAATTGCATTGATAAGCTTACATCTCTTAAATTAATTAATTACTACCTGCATAAATAAACCATTTATGATCTTAAAATGGCAAATTTTGTTTTGGGAACACACTCGTATACTTTAAGCTCCACATTCCACATATAACTAACTAATAAAAGTAAAGATAGTAGTTAACCACCTCTGAAGATCAATCAAGTAACCTACAAATCTTTTTACGTACATTTTTGAAATAAAAGCACTTTGTCATTAAATAAGAGCAAAAGTTTAGAAAAGCATGACAAAAAAAAAGGATTTTACTTTTATGGTTGGCCGTAGTAGAACTTTTAAAAATGGAAATATGGTGGTAGAGGAATTAATTTGAAAGTTTCAATTTTAACAACTTGTGTAATAATACCAACTGAAAACCAAAATGACACCTATCCTTTTAAAGTGCACAATAGAAAATTTAAAATCTCCTAATTCAAGTGTTCCTGAGCGGATTTCTTTACTTTGGCAAGCTAATGAGTAGTAAAGGTGCAAAGAAAAATGGATCATATCAGTAGCATGATAGCAATAATATTATCAGGAAAATGATAAAGCATTTCCTCACAGCACATGCCCATCAGATATAGGCAAGAAGAACGAAAACCGCGAATTATTCCTTTCAAAATACAGGCTAGTAACTTAACATCGCATCTAACTATAGTCATCAGCACAATAAATTAAAAAGAGCTTTGAAAGTCGAACATAAACATTCAGTAAACCAGTCAATATCAAATTTACAAGGAACTCACCTTAAACAAAAGGTCGTGAGCAATGAACTCCCACGGCAATGATATGGACATTAGGCAGCACTTCAGGGGCAAAAGCTCTTTATCAGGCTTCTTCATCGTAGAGGCAGCAGTACAAGCTTGTTTCGCTAACACAGATGCAGCAGAAGCTGCTTTGACAATGTTGCCAAGCCCAAAACTCCTTTTTGAAATTTGAAGTGGTGAATGGGGACCAAAAATCTGTTGACTTTGATCTACATACAATAAGACCATGTCTAAATATAATTTGAAATCTTGATTCAGTAGTTTTATAACTCCAGCAAAAGCTAAATAAATTCCAAAGCACAAGTCCATATTATTTCAACAAAGACATTATATGAGTGCTAAAGGAGGTCAACTTGTGAGGCAGGGGCTGCCAGCATGTTATTTCATTTGAACTCATGCATGATAATGTCAGCACAAGTTATTATTTTATTGCTAAACAGGCACTAAGTACTTTAAAAACCGCATGAAGGCATAGTCATTTGATAACTTTCAGTTCTCAAGTTCATATGAGGCCTTCCAGGAATCATCAGCTCTACATAACAGCTGTATGATGCAGATTACCAGGTACTTCAAATAACTGTATAATGCATCCCAGTCAACTTATAAACAGCCTAAAGCTGAGCTGAATATAACCATCAAAATAGGAGACGAACAGTAGATATCAACCAATGCGCTAATAGCTCTAACCAGCCTAAAGCCAATTGTAACGGTCAAAACAGAATATGATCATTAGAGATCAATCAATGCATTGATAGCTTTATATAAGCTGGAGTATATGAACATTGCGGAATAAAACCTTTAAGAAAATTTTTGAAATTCAATCAAATGTCTCTTCTGTTAATTATGAAAAAGAGGAAAACAACAATATATCTAAAAACCTGTGATTCCAGAAACAGCCACTTCCACTTCCCCACGCCCACCTGGACCCCTCATGTAAAGGCGGTCTGTTTTAGATGAAGCACTGCCAAGAGATAAAATGCTCCCAAAGGATGTCCTTCCAGCTGCAGATTTTTGAACATTTTAGAATTTTATTGTTTTCCTTCAAATAAGGAAAAATATCCATGATTAGGTTAACATTATTATCAAGATTTCATAAAAAAGAATTAATTAAAATAATGACCTGAATGATTAACACAAGGATGACACAAATGTAATGATTATGTGTAAATGATCTTGAAATCACATTTGCAAGACGGATATCGAAGAATACTTGAAGATAGCTAGCTTTAATCAATCAAACTCATGGAACTCAAGCACTACTTCAGAACATCACTAGCCTACATTGCAACTAAATACCCAATTTACAAATTAAACAGTCCATAATTCCTCAAGGAGACTACAGAAAATCAATGGAATATAAAGGTAAAACCCAGCATCAAAACAAGAAGAAATATGCTTTTTATTATATATTTTTTGCATATTTTAGTGCGCTAAAAGAACTATTTAAATTTGTAGAAACTTCATATATCAAGCAAAACAATGCTGAATTGGAGCAGCCCCAGAATGTTTCCAATACTTTTCATGCAAATAAGACCCCTGCGGTGCATTGTAATTTCCAATACTGATAGCTTTTTTCTGTCGACCATGGATCATCAAAAATCCAAACTCAAATCCGCAAGTCTTTTAATTAAAAAAAACATGTGCTGCAAAATTTATTTGTGATAAGCTTCAAACTCAGTCATGAAAGACTTAAGGTGCCAAAATTTTTTAGTAAACTAGTACATGCCACTTGATCAGTCCATCACAGTACTTGGAAAGGCACATGGTCGTTCTTCCGCCATCTTGCTATGCATGCAAATATTGGCATTTCAGAACTTATTAAAATGAGAAATAACGCAACTAAGCTTTGGTCTTAAAACCATGAGACAAAATGTTCCACAAAGAGGTCAAGCCCAAAAGTACACTAAGGTAGCAAAGTTTATTAGACAAAATGTGCTACTAAGCGGCCAACTCCCAAAAATACCCTAAGGTAAGAGGCGAGGCACCCACCTTTCACACGAGGCACTAATTTCTTAAGAAACGTTAACATATGCAATGCTAACAAGCAAATTCTTATATAACTAAAAATTAACAATACCAACATATTCGACACAATAAGGATTGGAAAATTTGACTGGTTCATGAGAGATGCATTGAGGGGAATATAACCTACATCAGATAATTAATTGTGACAAAATTGGGCTACTACTCTAATCCCTTGGAACTCAACTAAGAAGATTGATTATTCGCTCCAATTGAAGTGTTAACAAATTTGGGCTCCATTTTACATGAAGCGGTACTTTAAACTCATTCCAAAGAGATGGAAACTAGGTTGTATGTAGGGGCATTATCACATCTTTAGAGGGAATCAATCATGGTGAACTTGTTGAAGGGAACATGAGAAATCTGATTAGGCTGTTAGTTTAGCTTCATCCCAAAGTAATTTAACCACATTTCAGACGAGGTAGGAGCCGATCATTTTAAAGGACATTTTGACATTGTAGAGACATCTTGGCTTTAGGGGCATGTTTAAGGAAGCTAGTCGTGTCCAACTCATAAGGATGATGAGGGATTCGACTTTAATGTTAGTTTAAACTCACCCAAGAAGGATAGCATAACATATCCAATATGAGCTAGGAGTAAAACATTTTTGTTGCATTTCAGTATAATATGTTGAGAAATGCTTAAGAATGTTAGCAGTGTATAAACACATCAAAGGTGACGAAGCATCCAATTGGGGTGCCATTAACCTTGTCTTAGAAGAGCTAAGAGTTGATCATTGGGGTTGACGTAGCAAATGTGTGATTCACATACCTTTAAGTAACTTTGGAAAATCAAAACACAAAATTGAATTGAACTTCAATACTATGGCGAAAATAGGTGATACTTCAAAAATATCCAAATTTTGGCATAATAGAATTTACGCTTAAGATATTTATAAAGAGATAAGACCAATCACTAAATTTCAAATTTTCCAATAAAATTTAAACATACTATAATTTTTTAACTCAAAAAATAGCCTTGAAAGATGTACTAGTTACCAACTTACCATGATTAAACCATAAGGAAGTTGGACTTGAAAGTTTTATAATGATTATTACTGATAAGAGTTAGCTTTCATAAGAATATAGGAAATTTCAAAAAATATAAGACTTTTTGAAAATTCATTAACAGTTTCATATATGGGATTTTGAGAAAATCTGCAAGTTACAGATATTGAACATTGGGCTGAAGTTTTTTAATAGAGGTAGAGATTATTGAAAATAGCCTATTCACTAACTTTCACAATTTTTGAAGTTATATAATTTTTGGTGAATTAAAGTTGGGGCGTGACGCTGCATTTAAAAGCATATTGCACGAATAGTGAATGTTTTAGCTTATTTTGGGATCTGGAGTTCATCAGGACTTACGATGCTCATGGGATGCATTTGTAGAGCTTTCATAAGTGAAGCTTGGGATTTACCATTTTTGGAATAACTCTAATATTGGCTACTTGCATTAAAGATTTAATTCTTATATTAAGCTTTAAGTTATTATACTTAGACCCATTATTTGACCACTCCAAACGATGAAACCTCAGCCCCCAGAAACAAAATGCTAACACAGAGAGATAGCTTATTGGATTGAATAAAGACATTTATTATTGTACTGATTGCCATCTTGTTTGAATGGGTGGAATCATGAGAGCTTGAGTGGTGATCAAGTTGAAAAAGTTGTCATGCCATCACATTGCCCCATTTTAATTATATTTTTCTGTCTACGACTTGGGAAGGATTATCTTTTGTATCTTGTCTACATTTTAGCTAGGAAGCATTCCACACAACAAGTTTCAACGAAGTTTAACAAAATTTCATTGAGGAGGTTAATACTTGCACAAAAAAGTACAAATTCCGCTCATCATCTTGTTCCAAAGTTCATTTAAACAATTATTGCCATTTTTTAGTTTCTAGAAATGAGTTTTAGTAATTATACCCCTTAGTACTGATGAAATTTTGATAACATAATGTCTTAGAAAACTCTACCTTTCACTTAAAATTTACACAAAGCTTTGTCATAGCCCCATGTTAGGGGGCGATGAAAAAATCTATTCTCCTATGCCCTGCCTGCTCGCACATCAACAGTTTTGTGTTAGGAGCATAGCACAAAGGTATATCCGACCCACCACATAGATACCTACACTTAAAGACAACTCCAAGTTCTCTTTTTCAAGACTTGATCGTTCCTAAATTTATACAGGTTTCTTAAGTTATTTCCAATGCATAGATAGCTACATTATGGGGCGGAGGTCGACCATATCTCTACATGATCATCTACGAACAATGATGAGCTTGCTATTAGACACCGTAATATCACATAGTCTAGGATCACACTTCCACACATAACTATGCTTCAGTGACCAAGAGCTTAGCGGGGGGTTTCAACAAAGCTTTTGTCACAGAGGTGTCGAGCGCTTTTTCCTCTCCACTAAAGATTTGGTATTATTTGGTACTAAAAGTTCCCCTAGGAGCTTAGGTGGTTGGTTAGGCCCCAAATGGAAGTTAAATAATTTTTTTGGCTTGGAGTCTTATCAACATCAGTTCAAACTTGAAAAACGAAAAGGTTTACTGCTTGCCATGAACTAGTGACTAGTTGGCATCAATTAGCAAAGAGTTACTAATAATTCATCTCTCTGTCACTACAGAATAGGTTTACCAGAATTTAATACTCAGCGGTGACCTAGATATTCTAACAATTCTATGTTGTCATCAGCATAATCGAGTAGCCGGTTATATACATACATAGTGACAAGCTACAAACTTTGTCAAATATGGGTTTTTGTCCGAGAGGATTCAAGGTTACCAAGCAATTCTATTCGATGCAAAGAAGTAGGATTGGAGTTCAATTCACAGTTGTGAATTTTTTTAATTGGAATGTTGATAGGAAGAGCAATCTATAATTTTAAAATTAGATTCAAAACTAAAATCAAGCTGGATTTGTTATCATCTTTTAAGATTTTAATTTAAAATTAAATTAAGCTGAATATTATGCCAAGCATTTCTATTAATCTAGGGAATGAGGAGTTTATAAATAGTTGTCCTGAAACTGTTAGGAAATACTCGAAGATCCCAAGTAAACCCCAACAATGTTGACGAAACAATGAGAAAACTTCACCAATTTGTTGGAAAACTAGAGAAAACAATACTTTTATTCCAAGAATCAAACTAACGGAAGAAGAAAAACAAGTTACAATTGATCCTCAATTTCTAGAGGAGGATCGATCTCTCCCAATCCCTAGACGAAGCTAGGGCCCAAGAACCAAAGGCACCAAATCAGCCACAATAATCATACATAACCCTAACCCTAATCCCTTCTTCCTATTTAAAGCAAACAATTAAACATGTAAGCCAAAAAATAAATAAATAAATAAAATAATAATAATAAAAATAATAAAATACAATTAAACATCTAAGCCCAAATTACCACTTAGCCCTAGCCGCCACCTCCTTTGCCTCCAAATCTATTTGAATTTGAATTCATGAGTGGGCCCTCTTCCCTCTTGTATGCGTTAGCTAGTCCTTAACCTTGGGCTGGCTGGACCTTTCCAACAGGGACTGGTCTAACAATACCCTTCTCCCAAAGAATCACATTGTCCTCAAGGTGAAAGTAGGGGAATTGATGTTTCACCTTCTCATAAGCCTCCCACATGGCATCGCAGTCTGATAGGCTCTTCCATTTGATCAGGACTTCCTTATTTCCTCCATCTCCTTAGTGAACCCTCATCAACTCTAAGAGTTCCAATACCACCTCCAAGTCTTCTGTCAACGTCACTGGTAGACTCGCTACATGATCCCAAATTGCCCTCCTCAGTTGTGATACATGAAAAACAGGATGTATGGTTGTTGTCGATGGCAATTTCAGCCGGTATGTCATAGCTCCAAGCCTCTCTAATATCTCAAATGGCCCAAAATACCTTGGTGCAAGCTTCTAATTTCTCCTGTTGGCAACGGTCTTCTGCCTGTAAGGTCGGAGCTTTAAGAACACC